TAGACTGAAGAGGGCTTCTTTATTCTAGCCAGAGATGTATTGCTATGGGTTTGACAGTACTCGATTTCAAGAGATGAACAAACATTTTTCTTAAAAAAAAAAAAAAAAAAAAAAAACCTCTCTTTCCACTCGTTTAAAGGGTCATATTCTAAAAAATGTTCCCCCTTAAAGGTTTCTTGGACAGTCCTAATTCCGTTTTTGACATGACCTCAATGTTCATCAAAAGTTTTGGCATTTAATCTTTATAAAACTTATTTGTAGCCCATTTTCAATGAATCTTTCTAAAAAGTTTGAGTTACACGGTTTTCTTATAGTACAATAACTTGCCAATTCTCGCATTACACTTCTTGTCAAATAGTTTATTCGATTAAAGGTTAAAGAAATGGCTGATATTTGTATAGTACAAATTCAGTCCCTGCTTATGTTTTGCACATGAAGCTGTAGCACCACATCAGGCCTGCTTCAACATCTGTTGTAGTCCAACAACACCGTGAGCCACGATGATATCGCTGGAAAAGAAGCATTTAAACAGGAAAGAGCGGAAAAAAAAATAGAGCAAGCAATGAAGCATTTCTGCCCTTTTAATGCGGTAACCTTTGCTGGCGCGCCTGTGGGTGGAGAGGCTTTTGCCATAGCAACACTAATAGGGAACTGTGTGCTGTAATGGAGGGTTGAGTGACAGGAAGCTATCCTGTCTCTCTTTCCTCCTTTCATCGGGGGCTTTGGCATTGTCTGGCCTTTCAACCACTGAAGGCAGAGGGTCCTGTTGATTGGACGGCTACGATCTGTGGTCTAATTTAGTACTGAGCTCATTCATGCAACAATCATGTGGAGAATCTAACTGTCTGTATGGACACACACACACAACCAATCTAATGAAGAGATGTGATAGGAAAGGTATTCCTTTGTGCACACTTGTTTAATTATACATCTAAATGTGAACATACAATTGAATGGGCTTCTATTGTTTTTAAATAATGCTAATTATATAAATTACTATACTAAACCTAAGATTCCACCATCTTTACTCATGGCCGCTCAAGTTGCTTAACTCTGAAAAATTTGAAATCCCAGAGATTGCTTTAAAATGTATACTTTTCAACGAGATATGAATAAAAGAGTTTTTGAAGCATTGCCTTCATCACACATTTTTCAAATCTTGGTCAAATTTGTCCCCGAGCCAAAAACCATGAATTACTTTTAAATCTATAATAATCTAAACAATGTCAAATAAACAACCCAATTTCAATATTTATTGTGTAAAAATTAACAAGTAATAATTAATAAACTGTATAAAAAGATAATAAAAAAACCACCTGGCATTGTTTTCACCACACAATCTTTTAACCACCAAATGCTGTCCCTATTAAAAGAGCTTGTAAAATGTATTTAAATGTATTTAAAGGCTATACTGTAAAAAAAAAAGTTGCTGCCTTAAATTTTGTTTAAGTACAATCAACTTGGATGTTTAAGTCTCTTCAACCTAAATTACATTAAACTGACTTAAAAAAAATTCAAGTTGAATCTTTTATGACAAGTTATAAATTGCTTGTATTTACATTGATTTAACTCATCAAAAAAGTTATGTTGTCATAAGTTATTGATCATATAATGTTTTTCAGTGTATTGAACAATATAATTTGTAGAAATGACTGTATTTTTGTCTTTGAAAATAAATTTCTACCACAATGTACAGATTTATCCTGTGATGCACATAGTAGCTGACAAATAAAATAAAGTAGTGAGAATAAGAGGAGAAAGAATTTTCATTTCTAAAGATCCTCAAAGTTAAAACTTGAAGAAACACTAAGTTATGGCATCTAGAACCAGCATTTAACTATCCAAACCTTGACCCCTTGGATCCACACAGATATGAGATCTCAACATGCAAGCAATAAAATTATACAAATTTCGAGTGCAGAGGAAGGCCTGCAGGTAACCAAACACAATCTAAACTGGTGAGTTTATGACATAATGCCCTGTGTCGTAAAGTCAATAACCTCTTGAACTGCTAAAGATCTGACATATTTGCATTTTACAGCCGCTAGTACTGTCAGTGTTTTCCTTTTTCTGACAGAAAAACAGTTTCCACAAACACTAGAAACTTCAGAAGGACCTGTGCCAGGAGACCAGATCCCAAAGTACCTGCGACTGAAAAATTGGGATAATTTTCAACTCAAACCATCAGCTGAATTTTACTCTTAAACCCTCAAAACAAACTGCTTCACGAAACATGCCAGCCTTCATGATCAAATCACATACAACCAAGAAAGAGAGCTGAGTCAATCAGGAGGAAATGCATCTGAAAAACAGATTTTTTTTTTTAAATTGAGAAAAAAAAAAAGGTAGTTTTTTTTTTGTCCGAAATCCCTCATAGGAAGAAAGATAATTGCAAAAGGGAAAAAATGGAGGAAGGAAAAGACAAAAGACACACTCAGGAACAAATGACCAAATTAATTGAAATATCTCCAATGACGATATGCACAATTAAGCACGGTGGGGGTGGAGGGTGTCTGTTCTCCGTTGGGGAAAGTAGAGACAAATAGATGGAAGAAATGGAGGGATGCAGAAATAGATGGGCGGCTCTGCTCTCTGTTTTCAGGGTGAATAATTAGACCTGATGGTGAGAGGACAGAAATAAACTCCTCAGAAATAACACAAATCAGTCAACGGCTTGTTCTGAGTGATACGGAGGAAGGTTGAGGTCGGGGTTGGGAGGACACTAATGTCAGTCTTGAAGAAATTGAGCGACCACAAGAAAGTGACAGTCTCTTTATGTAGTCTAATGAAGCTTGAATGTTTGTGCACCCCATATACAGAACCTTGCGATGTTCCCATGTTGTGTGCAATTCCGGCAAATGGTCAAAATCCCACCCTCCATTGATCCAGAAAAGATTCGATTTGTCCAAATAAGCTTGGTTATTTTTATGGCATCCAATTAGAGATCCTAAAATGCAGCTTTTTGATGTAGATGTATAAAATAAAATTAAGTGCATAATGCTGGAATATCTGGAAAAACGTCTCCTAAAAACAGTGTGAAAAATCATCATCTAGGTAGCCTTGACTGCTTATTTTAATTTGAATTCATTTGAATTAAATTAAAATTGAAGCCACAAACAGTCAGTGATTTAGTCAAATAGTCTCTTAGTGGATTATTAAGCTAACCGGATAAGCTAAGCTAACCGGTTAACCTGCAAAGCTACAAGTAATTAAGTATGCTTTAAGTGTTGGATAACGTGGTAATACTACACAATAGGATGCCATCCATTAACATTAGTTAATGCATAGATAACATGAACTAGAAATTAGATATACATTTTTGACAACATGTATTAAACTTTGTAAATGTTAGTTAATAAATTGTATTGTATACTTTGCATTATTGTTAAAGTACAGATTTTGATTTTAAAAATGTATTAAAGGGATAGTTCACCCTGGAGTCGTATGAATTACTTTTATGATGGTTGATGCACTTTTTTGGACTTCAAAATGAGGACCACCATTCACTACCATTATAAAGCTTGGAAGAGCAATTTTAATATAACGTTACAACAATCATTTAAAAATATTATTTTGAACTTTCTATTCAGAGAATCCTGAAAGAATGTATCATGGTTTCCACAAAATAAATTAGCACAATGTTTGAGCAGCAAATCAGCATTTTAGAATGATTTCTGAAGGATCATGTGACTGGCGTAATGATGCTGAAAATTCACCTTTGCCATCTCAGAAATAAATTTCATATTAAAACTTATTTAAATAAAAGTTACTTTAAATCGCAACCATTTCACAATATTTCAGTTTTTACTGTATCAAGTAAATGCAGCCTTGGTGAGCATAAAACCTCTTACAAAAATATGTAAATCTTACAGGCCCCAAACTTGAACAGTAGCATAAATGCTGAAATGAACAATATTTTGAAAAAAGTTAAATATTACTAATAACAAATACCCTAAATCACAAACGTCTATATAAAAATGTCAAAGGGTGAAGGATTTGGCAACACACCTGCAAATGTGCCAGCAAGAGTGGCAATTGGCTACATGCAGAGTCCTGATTAAAGGTCAAATGTCACAGATGCTCCACCACTTCCCCTGATGTGCAGCAGTGATGGCTGTATCTGCCCAGACACTTTCACACAAGCATGTGTGCATATATGTTCCACACAGAGAGGGCAAGGAAACTCAAGGGGAAGAACAGATGCTGAGTAGCAAGACCTCACAGCCAGCGAACGTGACACTTAACCTTCCATCAGATTGAGCCCTTCAGATCCTCGTCTTGCCTTTGGGAGGTCAGAGGCATAGACAAAACGCCTGCACTAACTTCAGCTTTCCAGACCTGTCAGAAAACACCAGCCTCCACAGGTCAGAGGGGAAGGACAGAAGGTATTCAATCTAAAACTCTACTAGCAGAGCATCTTGAGAAGAAAGAAACCCCTTCCACAAAAATCACTCACCGTTAAGCTTGAGGCAAGGAAATGTGAAGAGATACTTTTATATGGCTCATGGAGCGTGTATGAATCATTTAAGGAATTTTTCATATAAAAATGAAATTGTCTCATCATTTACTTACCTCTATTAAAACCTGTATGACTTTCTTTCATCCATGGAACAAAACTTATTATAGTAGAATGTCTATGCAGTTTTTTTCCACATTGAAATGTGACCACGGTAAGCAAGATTTCAATAATTTTTTTGGGTGAATAACTTTCCAATCTTTCAATGGCTTCAGAAGTAATATAGCCAGATGTATGGAGCACAGCTTCACCGCCCCAGGACACTGACCACTTTCAATGCATGAAGGAGAGCAATGGCATGAGAAGAAGTAAATGACGACAACATTTTCATTCTTTTTAGGTGAACTGTTCCTTGAAGTGTTAAAGAACTGAACAAAACAAATCGTTAGACTGGTGGTGCAACAGCGGTCAGATGCCACATTGTGGTCGTTATGTGGTCACAGATGGTGGCGTAGTTGACAGGCCGAAGCCGACTGACACTTACCAGCGAGCAGGAAGGTGATGAGACATGTCTCTTTGGGCATGTAGAGCTTGAGTCTTGAGCCACTAAACACGTACTCTACCACGGCCTCCGAGCGGCCCGCTCTCTGCAGGAATGGCAGGAACTGTTTCGCCTTCTGTGTCTCCTGTGCAAGGGAAAAAAAAGAGCATCAGTAATTGAACTGGTGTTTAAACATCATATGAAAAGAAACATTTACACGTTACACCTCGCAGCTGTTTTTGTGCCGTTTGGACAGGTGTTTGGTTTTGTGCAAATGATAGAGCCACATTAATATTTGCAGCTGACATGACAATTACCCAGAGATGCAAACTCATCAGGGGTGAAAAAGGTGACAAAGATGTGACCCCATTCCCCCAAAACCACATTTTAATTGTAATATATTTTTTGCATGTAATACTTTAAACACTTTTTTTAACATTAGAATTGTGCTGTAAAATTCAAATTTAAGGAGACCTACATTTCTCTTTTTTATTCATGGAGGTAAAGTGGAAAATGTGCAATGTTTTAGTGGATTATTTCTGCCACCAAAATTCGTTTTTTACAGAATTTAAAAGTGGATCGATGGCATGATTAAATGTTTTGATTTTGTTTTTTAAATTATGCCAAAAACAATATATTAATGCAACTTTTTAATACATTTATACAATTTCTATGATGCACTAAACTATTAGCCCCTTTTTTACACCAAATTTTTAAACAATTTTAAAAATATGGCTAACTCAGCTGGATACGTTACATTAGTTTAGATACTTTTAATTTGTAATTACAATTGGACTACTGTAGAATGGCAGGCCAAGTGGAAGATAACAGATGGTGACACCGTAACCCATTATGGGAGAAGGACAGCTCTATTTCAAAAGTTTCCTGGCCAATAGTATACTTTCAGAAGTGAGATTAGCGATCTTGGTTTGACAGGTGAGGGTTTGGGGTGTAACAGAGACACTTCAGATTTCACTCGAAATATTGCTGGTTCCTGTGACCCACACAAAGAAAAGGAAAAAAGGAAGAGAAAGAAGGGGAGAAAAGCAAACAAACACATCCAAAGATAAATGGCCCTTTCACAGTCCCAATCCAAACGACATTACTCTGACTGTCAGTCATATAACGAGGGAATCTTGTTTCTGGATGAGAAATGAGAATGTTATCATTTAAGAGTGACACTCTTTTTTCTCGCTCTAAATGCCTCCTACACAAACTCGGGTATAAATAACATCCTGAAAAAGTTCGCAGAAAGCTGCCATACACTTCATTAAAACCTGAGGAGCTCATTCATAAACGCAGAGATGAGAGAGGAAGAGAGGAAGGAGATAGTTGAGGAGAGGTGAACAGGAAGTCAGCGGCTGTGAAACGCAAGTTGCTTCACACACTAAGTAAACAAGCCTGTCACCCAGAAAACGACATTTACAAGCTAAGTAAAATTTAATCTTCATTTGGTGAGGCAACCAAACAGGATTCGCCTTAAAACAACTTCAGAGCTACGAGCATGATGACTTTATGGGTGGAAAGACTATTTTTAGAGGGCTGTTCATTAATTTAATGGGCAGGGCCGTAATGCAGCAATAAATCAGCTGTCATAGGGCGTAGCGCTAACATCAAAGATTTGGGAGAGGATTCTGGAATATAGAAGACATCAGAAAAACCGTTCAACATTCAGAACACGGTCATGGGTCATGCTCGGGCCCAAACACAATTTATTATTATTTTTTTTAAATTTTCACACAGATGTTTGGGTTTGATTTTGTCTGTGGGATGATTTAAAACAGAAAGTGTTAAGCAGAACAGAAAATTCCACACGCTTATGGGCAGCTGAAAATCAAATTTGACAAAACTTTTACACTGAAGACAAATCATAATAGTCAACAAATATCAATAAATCAATAAAAAAGGTGAAAAATCAAACAAGCAAAAATATTTCAGCGGAAAATAAACTACACTAACCAAACTATTTATTTAAAACAAACGACAGGGGATGTGATGCAGTGAATGTTATGCCAGTGTATGAATGGCTAAAGCTAGGTAAAAATATTGATATCCAAATATGTAATTTCCAATTTATTTGAATAGTGCTGTCCATCCTGTAGATATCACAGTTCTGCGGAAATCAAATTTTACTTCAGTTATGAGTTCACTGACTGGTTCTTTTAATGAACAGTTCAAAAAGATGAGTTACCGATTTGAATAGGTCTAAAACAATGCCATGTATAACTTTAACTTACAGAATATTTTTCTTGTGTAAACAAAAAGGACGTAGTAACTGAAATGCATCCAAACAAATCAATCAAATCGAAGCAAATACAAATGTAGGACTGGTTATGCTAGGGGTCCCGGAACGCACAAACTTACCCCTGAAATGTCTGCCACCCTGTGAATAGGCACTTCTTTCTTGCTGTGAAGTCCTTTGCCGTTCTTGATCGCCCTGCAATGATTCAAGAATTGTGTTAGACAAAATGTTCAGAACGGGCCCCCAGAACATAAAAACATTTTTGCCCCAGCCTGAGAAACCAACCCTTAAACAAGCCCACCCATTCATCCATCTCTCATGCCAGAAAAGAACCAACAAATTACATTTATAGGCCAGCAGTTCTCCTGTATTACACATGGGAATGGATATGGTGTCTTTTGTGTGTGTCTGAGTGCTCGATCAGTGTAATAGTGGTTGCTGAGTGGTGACGCCTGCAGATTACAGTAGATTCAGGAGGAATGAGGGACGTGTCTTAGGCCTCTTTAAGGCAGATGCATCTGTGGCTGTAGCCTCCCTGGTGTCCAATCACATTCGGTGAAGAAAGGAAGACAGAGAGAGAGAGAGCTAGTCCTGGGGTTGATTTCTCAGAGGATGTAGGGTAATGACCAGCAATCACTGCTAAAAATAAATTTGAGGCCCGCAAACCTCCAATCTCCGCTGGCTCCACGGGGAAGTATTACCCAGAGAGAGCAAAGGACAAGAAAACCGAGGAGATGTGTATGAAAGCATGTGCGTTTGAGAGCAACACCAAAAGTGAAGAATAGAAATGGAAAAGAGAGCAGCAGATAAGAAAAAGCGAGTCTCTTTCTCTCGAGAGTCAACCCGTCTATCGCAGACCACGAGATCCGAATCTCTTTCTGTGCAATGAACCACCCTTGAAACCTCTGCACCGCAAATCTATATAATTGTAGTAATAGACGAAGAATAAAAGAGCCATGCTTTAGTGCTGGTGGTTAAGGTATGAGCTCTGAGACTGATATTGCCCCCATGAAATGAGAGCTAACCAGACAAGCCATGACTAACTGCAAAGAACAAAATGGCTCCATTTCACAGACGGCTTCTCCTTCGCAATGTGGAGGAATATGGGCCGCATTCGCTCACCGGTGCTTTTATTTTAGTGTTCTGGCTTACCTTGCCTCTGCTGCCAGGAGCTCGTCATAATGGGAAGATCTTTGATCGTCGTCCTGGCGGTATCTGATCACTGTGGCGAGACCTTTACTGACCAGAGCCTCAGCAATGTTTCTATAGAGAGAGCAAAACAAAATCAGATGTTGGCATGAAATGAATCATTTAATTCAGAAAGGGCACATTAAGCAAATGACAGTAAAGACGTTGTGTCACAAAAGATTTCAATGTCAATCAAATGCTGTTCTTTTGAACCTTCCATTCAAAGAATACCAAAAAAATAAATAAAGCAGCACTACCGTTTTGAACATTGATGATAAGAAATATGTCTTTAGCATCAAATCAGCATATTAGCATCATGAAAGTCCAGCTTTGCCATCACAGGAATAAATTACATTTTAAAATATATTTTGACCGTTGAAAACTGAGCTTGTGCATTTTTTTTTCTTTTTGAATCACTCACTTTATATTACAACTATAATTTTGGAGGGAGGTTTGTCTATATTATATAGAATGTAATTTGCACATTGTTTGAAGGAGAGCGTTGAGTAAGATTGAGTCTTAAGGCCTAATTTGCAGAACTGAACCATAATTGATGACAACAAATGAGACCGGTGCCCTGCAAGCAAAGTGGCAAATGCATTTCTCATAGCCATTTTTCAACACAGATATTGCATTTGGCGAGCAGCTCGCATTCCCCTATTGCAGAGCACAGCAAACGTGCAACAGCCATTCTGTGTCAAGTTTTGGTAATAAAATCAAAAGAGCAAACATGAATAAAACAAAACAACAATGTTTTGGTGCCTTTTCTGAAGTTATAGTGGTACACAGTTTCAGCTAGTACTCAATGGAGTCCTCACTTTGATTACACAAACATACCACAGATCAGAGCCAAAAAATACAAAGTGAAAAAGAACTAGCGTGGCTGTTTAGGCCAAGTAGTTAAATCAAAAAACAAACTGACAAAACAAAACACTAAAATTGCAAGCCATGATAAACTTATTTTCAAAGTTCACAAATCAAATGGTTACTAAAAAGTAACATATTGCATCAGGCCAACAGACTTGTCTGTGCTGCCATGAATTTTTACAGATCTACGATCAGTTCAGGCTCCTAAAATATTTATGGCACTATGGGAAAACCTGGAAAGAGCTGATTCCGAAACAACGAAGAGTCAAGATGTGGCAAAGCAGCTGAGCCCTCAGGCGATGTGACCACCTGTTACCCACAATGCTCTAATGCCAAGCACTGGGGCACGGTTGGGTAATCACAGCCTGAGGCGCAGTGCCACCCCAGACTCATGTGCCTGGCCTCACTTACCCTAACAAGGGACAGTGTGCTCACACATCCACATCACATGGGTGAACAAGAATCATTTGAATTCATAGAGGAGTCAAAAAAGGTAATAAAGCCTTTGTCGGTCCTGATTTTGAAGGTGATGGTTAGAGAGTGTTGATTCCTTTTCTTTTTAGTAACATGTTTCTTTTGAATAAGACAACCCACATTTGAAGAGTGATAGCAACTATGTGAGGAAATGACTGACATTTAAAGTCATTATTTAATCAGTCTGGATGATTAATGAACAGATCAGACTGATGTGGTTCGAGTTCAACACAATGACTAGATCCAGACGCAGCAGTTTACAGCTTATTGGAGGGGAAGATATTCAGTGAATAATGACTTAATTTTTGGTTTATTCTTACACAATCAACATCATTTTACCTGAAATGTAGCACGAGTTAAAATAGCTTTCAAAATTTGGGGGTCAGTAAGATTTTATGAACTTTCCACAAAATGAGCAGCACTGTTGTCAACATTGATAAGAAATATTTCTTGAACATCAAATCAACATTTTAGAATGATTTCTGAAGGATCATGTGACACTGAAGACTGGGGGTCTTTTTAAAAGTTTTTTTAAATTGTAATATAGTTCACAATATTACTATTTTTACTATTTTTTATTTTTTAAAAAGGCAGTTTTGGTGAATAGTAGTGTATATGGACCAATTTAGGCTGCTTTATCAATGTCTGTAAGGTACAGAAAACCTGAGTGGGAGGAGGTGGTTTTCAAAAATAGGTCAAAAAGCAGAACTTGGTACAGATTTAGTAACTGGCTACTGTACTCACATTCCTCCAATGGTGACTGTCGCACAGGTACGCTCTGGGAAAGCCGGAACGCCACCCGTTTCCATGGCACTGGTGGCAGCTCTTATGTAATCGACCGTGACATTAACCTGCAAAGATACAAAACAAAATGGTTAAAAATCACCAATGGAGCCGATGAAGGGCCAAGAAACACTACATACATACACACACTTTTATAAGCCTGTCAGGGGCTTGGCTATTGAGATAAATTGACCACTGAAGCTACTACATGTGAGGACATGGAGAACTGCACTGTAACCCTGTTTTATGATGTCGCATTAAACATGACAGAATTACGCCAAGAAAGAGCAACACATCAAACTCTGAATTTGATATCTTTGTACAGGATTGCAAATCAAGCGAAAAGCTGGCTGTAAAGGGGAAAAAATGGATTACAGGCCTTTCAGGGTGGACAAATTGTGTTAGGGCATCTAGCAAGGGGTTTGTGTGTGTGCGCGTGTACAAGCATGACTGTGGGCTACTTTCCAAGGTCACCCTGAGTCAGTGTGAATCATGTCAGGCTAGACCATAGATCTCCCCAGAGGAAGCCAGACCAAACATGGAAACTGTTTATTACAAAGTGAAAAAAGAGGCGGGGACCGGTTACTATTTCGCTCGGCGGCAATAGAGGAAAGTGGAAGGGAAGAGGATAACTAAACCTGATTATTTCACACCAAACTGCTTCAGGTTAAGAAATCGACTCCATTTGTGTCAAACTCTCTCTGAGGTCATAGGATCATCACGGAGGGGCCATCGCATGCGGTGTATTCTTGTTAGCTCTGAGCAAATAAAGCCGCCGCGTTAAGATATTCAGAGATAGGAGACCGTGATCCAGCCAATTCCGTTCAATCAGTTCAGAGCAAACAGAGGGTTGGAAGCTAATCTGAAATAGTAAGCCGGATCTCCCATCTGTCTTGACATGCAGGGGGGAAGATCAGTCATTAATCGGGATGGCACCAATAACAACCCAAGGACGAAGACTTCACGTGACCGACTGCATTGTCCTATTGGAGTGTGTGGATTGATTGCATCCTGACCACAATTCATTAGTGCATGTGTAAAACTACCTTACAGAAATGAGGCACCACTAATGTGTCAAAGCATTTCCCTCCAATCTGAAGGACCCCGTCCTGAGGCTGACGAGTGTGAACCATATGTACACGAACAACAATTAATTTCAGTCTAAAACTAAGCTCTACCCTAGTAAACTTGGAGATGATTTCTTTCTGGATCCTTCCCAGGTTGTTGACAGAATTTGTGCGAAAAGTTTTACAACTTAGGGTGTACAACAAAGTGCACTCAATGTCCCTTAAACTTGGTGATTTTGTAGTCTGCAGTAGAGACCGACTGATAATCTGTCTGACCAATATTTGTTTTACTATTCACGCTCGTCACCTTAAATTAGTAATAGATTCTTTAATATCGGCTAACGTTAAAATCACAGCCTTTAGTTTATGTCGATTGCATTCGACACTGCATTCGATTGCTCTCCTTTTCCTCATTTCCGATTTTCACAAATCGATACAGACGATCTTCAGACCAAGCCAACAAAAAATTATGGAATTCAATTTGATTAGTCAAACCATTCTCCAATAACACAAACAAATTTGATGGCAAGCAAGGCTGATGAGGCTGTATTTTTGCAACTTTTTAATCTATTCAAAAACCAAACTTTAGAATAAGCATGGCCTGAGGGTACATCTATTTTGCTTATAACTTCTAAACGGTTTGGTCAAAAATAACGAGACCAGTCTCTTTTGATGTGGCATCCGGAGTCTTAACAGGTGAAGCAACTCTGCATAACGTACTATTTGAAATTATTTAAGAATTACTTAGTTCTTGTTATAATTACTTTAAATATCAGCCAAATCATTCTCAAATGAAAAATCTAGTTTAACAAATTGGATAACTAGTTTTAAAGGCTAAATAATTTAGTTATTGCAGTAGTATTTTGAATATTTATTAAAATTAAATTGAAAAAAAAAAACAATTCTGCATTACATTATAAGACACTTAAAGGATTAGTTCACTTAAAAAAAAAACTTTTGCTGATAATTTACTCACCCCGATGTCATCCAAGATGTCCATGTCTTTCTTCAGTCGAAAAGAAATTAATGTTTTTGATGAAAACATTTCAGGATTTTTCTCCTTATAATGCACTTTGCTGGGCACCAAACGGTTCAAGGTCTAAATGACCGTTTCAGTGCAGCTTCAAAGGGCTTTAAACGATACCAGACGATGAATAAGGGTCTTATCTAGCGAAACGATCGGTCATTTCAAAAATAAATAAAAAAGTTAGTTTTATAGGCACAAATGCTCGCCTTGCGAACTCCTGTTCGAACTCGTTCATCAAAATGAACGAATCTTTTTTCGAGTCATTGACTCGTTCATCAAAATGAACGAATCTTTTTTCGAGTCATTGACTCGAAAAAAGATTAGTTCATTTTGATGAACGAGTTCGAACAGGAGAGTTCGCAAGGCGAGCATTTGTGCCTATAAAACTTTAACTTTTTTATTTATTTTTGAAATGACAGATCGTTTCTCTAGATAAGACCCTTATTCATCGTCTGGTATCGTTTAAAGCCCTTTGAAGCTGCACAGAAACGGTCATTTAGACCTTGAACCATTTGGCTACCATTGAAGTCCATTATATGGAGAAAAATCCTGGAATGTTTTCATCAAAAACATTAATTTCTTTTCGACTGAAGAAAGAAAGACAAGGACATCTTGGATGACTTGGGGGTGAGTAAATTATCAGCAAAAGTTTTTGAAAAAGTGAACTACTCCTTTAAACATTTAAAATATCGCTGAAAGTGCTATTCTTTAAATCTTAAGATAGCAAAAGCAAAATTACTAAGTTAATTAACTGTTCTGAATTCTTACCCACCTATAATGGTAAACGATGGTGCTCACATTAAGACAAATGTACTGCAGTTCTGTTCTACATAATATAATGTGAACGTAGATTTACGAAAACAAGACAGAATTGTGACATGGCACAATAAGGCAAAGGGTGAGAAAGTTATATGCTCTGAACTAATTCCTAAAGTTGGAATTCAATCCATGTATCCCCATTCAATTCATTTGCCTCAAAATGACAATGTAACTCAGTCTAATGGACATAATGGAAGTTCATTAGGTGGGGGAAACCTGTGGACACTCATTTTCTTACCCCAGGAGTTTAGTGCTTCATCAACAAATAAAGCACAAAATAATTGCATTTTCATCCTCTACTTCTACTCTCTCCAGTTCCCTCTCTGAAAGGCAGAGACAGCTCTGCACCATTGGGCAGGAGTAATGAGCTTGGTTGAACGACGACAACATGCCCTTCTTAAGAAACACAAAACGCAAACGATTCCCGCTCGTTCAGAGGAACAAAAGTGCTTATGAAGAAAATGAATGAGAAAAGAAAGTGGCGGCCCATTTGGGAAGTAGATGACAGATTAAATGGGCTTTTAGAAACATGCCTGAATAGAAAGATCTGACCAAAGGACAAAGGCATTGGAGGGTTTGAAAAATGCCCAGACAGAACCAGGAGGAAGAGGATGACGAAGACAGAAATGGTGCTAAAGGCGAAGCATCCCTCAAAACAGAGACAGATCCACTGAAACGTCCAGGGAAATGCAAAGAGATTGAGCTGGTCCATGTACAGCAATGTATAGATGCTTTCACACTTGGTTTGACTGCTTTGTAAAAACCAGAGATGGTTTCACCCCCTCCCCTACTGGATTCTTTACACATTGTACTTTAGGGTACAAACGGTGGTATGTGTTTGAATCATCAGCGCGAATACCACCATAAGTAAATTGTTGACGACTCAGGAAGAGGAGATGCCAGCTTCACCGTTTATGTTTTTGTCAGTATGATTTATCAGTATGATTCTGAAAGTCAGATTTATCCCCAAACAAATAAAACATAAACCTTATAGCACATAGGAAAGCATGCATGTTTATCTGCCACAGATGTATTGCAAGAAACGCAAAGCATGTGAACTGCTCTCTGAACAGTTTATCTGGAGACAAGCGGGTATGACATTATGTATGATAAGGAGCATGCAAAAGCCACAAAATTACATCTAAAAAAATAAAATAAAAAAGACAGACATTCTGCAACCAGTTGTCCAGATTGAATGACTGAGTCGGTTCTTAACATAATACGATGATGATTATAATTATTATTATTACTATTATTGATGATGACAATTATTAATACAAATATTTTCTTATATTTCTCATATTCTTATTAGCACTATCATGACTATTGTTAGCATTAAAAATTATATAGCATTAAGTGTGTATTAATCATTTACATCATTATTATACAATTGTTTATGAATTCATAATTTTATTGCTAAATTATTAAAATACATGATCATTATTTGTATTAGTATTAAGTAAATAAATGTATTGATGTTTATTATATTACTAATTGTATTACTACAAAACAATAGTATTAAATTCTTATTAACATTTAATTCTTATTAATTAATAATTAATCATTGCTATTATTAATAATAGTAAATTTACATTTTACATTTTCATTGTTGTGGTATAAATGATAATTTATTAGTGTGTCAAAAAGCAACAATATATATTTTTTTAAATAGTTATTTATAGCTGGAATAAAAAATAAAAAGGTTCTCTAGTATGTATGCTTGACACTTGTTAGGAATGCCAAAAAAAGCTTTTATACCAACCAAACTTGGATCACAAACGGACACGGTTCCACACCAAAAGCTCTAGTGTGAATGTATCTTATGAGATGTGCAGAGTCAAACCTGCTCTCTGCAAGCTTAAGTCCCTGTGAGTGGAGTCTAATGTGGTGAGGGTAGGTGTAGTCAGGAAACTCTGTAATACATATTTCATGGATTAAAAGTGAGCTGCTAGTCTCACATGCCACTGTAATTCCCTCTAAAGCAGAAGCCAAAGTGGAGAAAAAAGATGAATGAAGTCTGCACAGCTCTGCCGTGGCTGCATCAATGTGCATCAGGGAAACATGGGAAGACTCAGCACGTCCTCTTCCATACAAATGAACTAACTAATAAACAAAGCAGAACTTATGGAACATACCTGCATAAACACAGACATCAAACACTCAACACTGACATTCCAGTCAGTCACTGCCTCTTGTTCACACCTCTCATACACACACACACACAAACACTCACACCCACATAACAGGAGGCACTTTGAGCGGGCAGGATTATCCAAACGTGCTCTTTCCTGATAAGTGGATTAATGCAACATTTTCATTTGACTTTTTCGCTGAGGCAGAGACCCTCTACAGAGGCGCTACTTAGAAAGTTAGCCAAATCTAGCTTTGGATTATGTCACAGGGAAGTTCTGTTTCAAAACCGAGAGGAGAAAATGCACTTCTGCACAGATTTTCTTCCATTACCCACTGCTGGTGAATGCCACTCATTCTCTCCCTCCTTTCAAAAGAAGGAAACGCGATCTGAAATGGATGCCTCGCTCCCAAGTTCTTCCGTTCCAGAGCTGTGACTCACTGGGGCTTGGATGGAGATTCTCTCCCTCCTTTCCTTTCATCTTCTCTTGTTCATTGTGCCATTGAACTGAAATTGATCACATACTGGCTGAGATTTTAAAAAGTTGACCTTCGACCTCTTCGATGTTAAAGTGACAGAAAATTGATGCAACATCGACAAATCCAATAGTGTCAGCTCAAGCTCTCATGCTAATACTCTGGAAACAAAAAGCAGGTACTACTTCCCCCTCCTGACTAGCTGGGATGCAGCATGTAGAGAACTAATGGCATCTTAAATGCCAGAAAAACTCAAAATCAAAAGGTTCTGGGCATAAAATCATCCTTCTCCCCTGATCTGGCAGATATGGGCCATTAGATTTCTATTTTTCCAGCAACAAAACAATCAGTCTTTACCAATTACCCGATTTTAGTTACAAACTTCTATAATTGCACAGATTTCATTTAACTTTTAACAGTTGGAACATCATTTTCCACGGCGGTTGCCAGGGCAGCAGAGGAGATGCTAAAACATGGCACGTCTCTGTACAAGGCCTCATCCTCACACCACATTGTGTCCTAGCAACAACTAAAGAAAGCTGACAAAAGCCTGATTGCATTTTATTTAAAAAATCCATTGGTGTAACCACCATCAAGACTATATCCATAATAGTGGTCGATCAACATGCGTTTCAATGACCTCTGCTTTAACTTTTGCATTTGGTCCATCCCAATACTGAATATCTGGTTACAAACTAAATTTAAATCAATTTATAAAAAAAAAGCAGGACTTTTTCTGTAAAGGAAATATTTAGACGCTACTTTTGACTCTAAAGATCAAAGATGATTAATCTAAGTCAAAGCACTTGTGTGAAAAATGTAATGAATACCACACGCCGATCTTCTTGAGCTGGATTAATTCTGAATGAATTCAAACATTCTCACACTATTTGCATTAACATGCAAACAGACATATCTTATCAAACAGTGTGTTGTATAAATGCAACTATCTGTTACCGCTGAGTGCATACACGGGAAATGCAAAACTCTGATCTGAGGCAAAACTCGCTGCTTTCTATTTTCCCGCTCTAGTGTCAGAATATTTGAATGATTCCAGGTCAGTGAACCAGACTTCTGTAAAAAGATGAGGCAATAAAATATTGGTTTCTAGGAGCATTACGATCATACAAGGACAATATAAAGCTGCATTAGTAATCCACGCTTCTGGTGATCATTTATGAGAAAATGTCTGCGTGTGAGGAAATGTGCTGTCATATTTCTTTGGTGTTAAATCAAGTGGGCCTAGCACGCTGGGCTTTTCGTTATTCTGCACATAAACACTGAATTGTCTGGGTGAGAAAAGTCATGAATAGACAATGCGCAGCTACACAATCTGTCTATCATACTTTAATGAGTCCCGATATGACAGAATTTTCAGAACATCCCACACCCTGCTGTCCCAATTAAAACTGCACCTTTTGATACAAAGTATTTCTGTTTGCTATGAGTGACAGATGGAATCACTTCATGTTTTACAGTTACTTTAAAATATATTTTTTAAATCACTACATGTACTTAAAGGGATAGTTCACCCTCATGTCGTTCCAAACCCATAAGACTTCGTTCATCTTCGGAACACAAATAAAATTGACTTCAATGGTTCTTTCGGAAACTCAAACGAGCTGCGTAACACACGAAAATGAACCTCGTTCACGTCAAGCGAACATGCTTCCGTTTACCACAATTGATACGTGAGTTGATAAATGTTTATATGTGAATAAAAGCCTAAATTCAATCTGTTCATCATACAAAGCGATCGAGTCTCTTCAGAAAATTTTGGACTAGACCGCTCAATTCATATGGATTATTTTTACGATCTCTTTATGACCTTTTTGAAGCATCAAAGTGGTAGTTGCGTAGCTGTCAATGGAGGGACAGAAAGCTCGCAGATTTGATTAAAAAGATCTTCATTTGTGTTCCGAATATGAACAAAAATCTTACGAGTGTGGAACGATATGAGGGTGAATAATTAATGACAGAACTTTCATTTTTGGGCAAACTATCCCTTTAATACATATTCCTGCTTTTTGTGAGTGATTAATTCATGCATGGTAATCCAGTGACATCATGAACAACTTTTTCGAGCATTCAATCAATCAAGGTTTAATGTTAATCCATAAATATTCTAATTTTACATAATTTTGTGTTTTTGTCCATTCAAGAATATATATTTTTAACGCGTTAAACTGAAAAAATGTAATCCTAAAATTAACACGTACATTTTCACTGCCCTAATATAATATTCATATATCTATACCTTGCATCAAAATGTAATAACTTGCTCCACCTTAGAAACAACTTTCCTTTTCTAGCTGAAGCCTTTTTAATTTTTCAACCCATCCCCTTCAAACATTTGTCATATAGAGACTTGTTATTATCCAATTAATTTATAACGCGTACATTGTTCTTTATCTTCATTATTTTCAACTTTTGGGACATGATGAAGATCTAATAAATAAAAATACTGATAGAATATTGTGGAGAATAAGTATTACAAATTTACTGTATAACTGCAACAGCCCTAGTGTGCACATATTTGTGTGTAAATACATCAACAGTTCACATGTCAATGTCCTGTGCCTTGCCATTCTGTTTTCCTCAAATATAAATCATTTGTGGTTCTATGAATAAAGTCGATATGTTCAAGGTCTGTTTGGTGAATGTGCTTAGTAACTCCAAACAGAATACAGAAATTCACATGGAAGAAAACTTTTATACAGAAAGAATAATAAGGCAGAACGTCACAGTCTCTCACCTTCTTGCCAATGAGCTTCTTCCTTAAGAATTCCCGTGCCTCAAACATGTAAGGAATGTCGTAGAGTGGACGGAAACGCTTGTCTTTGTCCTTGTTCTTCTCCTGTAGAGTCAGATAGAATAGGCAAAAAGAGAGAGAAAGACAGACAGAGAAAAGTCAATATCACATAAATGAAAAATAGCCTTCCATCCCAAACTGGCACAACGTTTAATCACTTGCTGAGAGTCTCATGACTTCCATCCTGTCTTCCTCCCCTTCTCCATCTCTTTCCAATTTTACCATTCTCTTAATACCCAATATCCTTCCTTTTCCCACACAGCCATGCTAATGTGTCAGAATTGGTAGATGACACGTCTCATTGTCTCGATCTCTTGGTGTGCCAGGCATGTGACTCCACAAGCTATACGAGATGCTCTCACTGCCACACACATTGGTATACTAGAAATAGAACCTCATTTACATTTTTTATAAGAAAGCAAAAAAAAAAAAAAGGCTGTATTTTCACAGAGAAAGGCAAAAAAAAAAAAAACTCAGGATGCTCAATATTCAAGCATCCGGTTTTGCAGCTGAGGCCATGACAGTATGAATTAACACACAACATTCAGAGCCACTCTGCGTAAATCGGAAAAATGTAATTTTTGTGTTGTGGAAAGGAACACTTAACAAATGGCTGCATCTTTTTTTTAAATGAATCAGTAGGTCCAGTTAACAAATTAGTTCAGTTCAGACCCACTCTACCTAAAGTAGAAAAAATAAGTTGTTTGTTTTAGGTTATAGAAAAGAACACTGAGCAAATCACTCTTTTCAATGAACAGGTAGATCCAGTTAATAAAACCAGTTTGATTTGCTCATGCTTTGGACTGAATCGGTTCTCAAGTTGAAATGACTGATTCAATGATCAACTGTTGTTAACAGCTTGTTTTAGAGAAAAGTTATTAGGATATAAAGACTTTTGTTTTGGCCAAACAAACTATTGCATCACTTTGAAATACCAGAAATAAAGTGCACAAGTTGTTTGGGCCACTTTTATGGTGCTTTAAACCCCTTAGGAAAGCTCTGCTTCCCATTCATTGTAACTATGGAAAAAATAAACCAGTAGATTAATTTAAAATATGTAATTTCATGTTTCAAGAAACTTAGTGAGACAGAACGACGAGAGAGTAAGCCAATTTTATTTTTCAGTGAACTATCCCTTTAAGAATCATTTGCCTATTTTGGAATTGGCTCAATCCAGGCAACAACTTGCTTGAAGGAAAAACATAAGCAAGAGCAGAAATAAACTAGAGAGAGACTACTAACACCACAGTCAGGATGAGGCGTAGCTTGTGGGAAAGAAGGGAGAGATCGGACTGTTAACCTCAAGGACCAAATCTTACGGCGAATAAAAGCATATTGACTTTAAAAAGCATAAATCTCCGCAATTTTTAAATCCTCACGCTCTGATTCCAGCGAACATTAATCTGTGCAGCAAATAACTGACCTAAAACCACATCATCTGCACCCACGTGGTCTGATATTTGGTATAAAATAAAACCGTATCGACCACCCACTTCTGAGAGTGAGACGTTGCATTTAATGCGCAGAGACATCTTTCAGGACGGCTAAAGAACTGTGCCGATGGAATAATATAGACAGAAACCCCTGACGGTGAAAGAGAGGACAACCCGTTTTGAGCCCGCCTATAAATATCCACGGCAATTCCTTTCCCCCGAGCAAGAAAAGCAGAGGGAGGCCATGCAGTCGTGTGTTAGAGTGTGTGTTATTGTGTAAGTGTTGGTAAGAGCGAGCGTTCTGTGTTTTGCTAGTTGATCATATGAATGTCAGCAAGCATGTTACATACACAAATACTGAAATCTGTGCATTTGTTTTGAATACGAGCAGGCTGAAATCATAAAATATTTGACTCGTGTGATGGGGTTAATGTACTTGGAGCTGTAACATGCAAGTGCCATGTCACTGATAAAAAAAAAATCAGTCTTAAACAATGAACATATTCAAAATTTTCATCTCATTGCGTCCACGAGACAGCTCTAACACTGCTGAATAGCAAAATCAGTGTCGATTGTCAAGATAAAAAGTCTTTGTCGTTGTATTGAGCAACTCAAGTGTGTTCTGCTAAGACACGGAAGGCTGGTTACTGAACCGTGCGAGGAGAAATGAGGATTTCTTCGTCTGGCTGACATGCTGATTTTTTCCTGTTACTGGCTCCTAAAAATGACAGTCTGGCTGCATGCAGTGAGCACAAGAACGTTTTCATTCTGCAAAGGCTAACAGGACAGAACAAGACCTGTGCAACCATCAGTCAGGTATGATAAGCAAAACAATCATGTATTGCTACATTAAGGAAAACTGACAAACTACACTTAAAGGTGCAGTGTGCGATCTCCCAAAATCGTTGTTAAACTGTTGATATTTGAAATCAACCCAAACAACACACCCCTCTCTTTATTGAGGCCGGCGCTCTGGCGACTGATGCTAGAGAATGCTGTGTTTAGCATCCTTGTTAGCGCGCCAGCCTCAATGAAGAGAGGTGTGTTGTTTGGCTCTAGAGATTAGGGGAGTGAGGTTTATCTGCACAGCTCTCACTAGCTGGTCTCCTTTACACACGCAATGCAAGAGTAGATGTCTATTGCCCATAGCAGAAACGAAGCAAAACAATGCTTCACAAAAAATAAAGTGAAGATGAACGAATAACAAGCACAAAAAATGGACATACGGTATACAAGAGTAAATGGACTCAAAACTGTCCTGTTATTATAGCTAGCATTACAACAACAGCATTTATGTGAAACCGTAAAAAACAATGTTACTCAATGTTAGTTAACTGAAATGAATTTTTCATTTACTTGCCCTAATGTTTAAAATCAGTATGATTTTCTTTCCGAGGGTCTTTTTTCAAAATGTGGACTGGTGCTGTTGATCTATAAAAATAGTTCCATATCTATATTACAACTCTGCACAAAGTTAAGTTTGACCATCTTCTCTCCAGAACCAATGACATAAAATTAAAAAATGACAAAAATCATTGACAAATCTTGACCTGAACATGTGTAATTGAAGCAGTGAAGTGGTTTTAAAATATAACTGTCAAAATAAGAAGTCTCTTAAAGTCTCTTAAATTGTCAGATTTAGACTTTTTAGGTTGTAAAACGTCATATGCACAATAATGCAAAAATGTAGTATTTATGAATTAAAGTTTCAGGATATTCATTATTTAAAAAAAAACGTAATATATTCTTTAATCATACTTGTTATTGACCCTAGCACCATTTTAGTAGATCTATGAGCGGCTTGTCATGCAATACACAGTAGCTCCTGATGTTTAAAGTCACACACACCTCTCACAATACAAAGGTTTCTTTGTCTCGTACCTATATGCACCACTCACATTTTCATTCCTGATTCTCTCTCTCTTTTTCTCATTAGCCAATCTCATTATCTTCAGGTGATAAATGGCCCAAGGACTCTGAAGCAGAGAAAGAGAAAGCGAGAGAGAGTGAAGAGCTCTCTCCACCGTCAGGGAACAACCAATCACACCCTCAAAAAATACAGTGGTGCAGGGCAGACGTATTTTTGTAAGCCAAAAACCCAAAAACGGCCGAGCATTTAAGCACTTCCGGTTAGTCAATATTTTTTTTTTTAATGGGTTTTTGGTTAAATGCTTGAAATATAATATACAATATAAAATACGTGTGTTATACACTGTTGTGATTTTTTAAAGCTTTCATTTGTCTTGTAAAAGGCAGTTGCTAACAATTGGCTAAATGGGACTACAGAGGTTGTTGAGGACACAAAACGTCATTAGTTGAACGGGTAAACTAATTTACTCACTAGTCTGCTTACACAGATTTGTTGTGTTTATAATCATGCTCTTGCAGCCTATTATAACGTGAACGTTGAGGGAAAATGTTTTTAAACAAACACTGAAAGAGTTGTCAGAATGTCATGCGACATTTTGAATGCTTTACCCATTTTTGTCGATATAATAAAAAGGAAGGAATCTTATGAAACAAATAAATTAATAAAGGTCAATTAGCCCTTTAATCAAACAAAGCCCCTTTAAATCATTCGTTCATGTTTTTAGCCAATTAAATCTGTGTTCAGAAGGACTAATTATTCAGAAAGATATGCAAGTCCATATACACAATCTGAGGAAAGATTAAATGTGGGAGTTATGTAAAATAGAAAGAAGAAAAATATAAAAAGTTTAGGGGGGAGGGGGCCCTTTTGCACTTTAATTTGTTTATCTTGATGTTCTAGATGTCATTTTGCACAAATTGTTAATTAAGCATACCCTTTTAGATTTCCATTTGATTTCCATTAATGCCAGATAATACTCAGAGAATGTCACTTAGGTAAAAGAAGTGGTGTTCAATTTAAGCATTAGAACATTTTGAGTACTAAAGAGTGACACCTTATTTACTTAAAAAGAACAGGAAACCTGCAAATTGAATGTCATTTTCTGGCTTTAAATTAATGTGAAAATTCAAATAGATGTTTATTTTAACCCACAATAATTGTCGATAATTTAATCAATAAAACGTATTGATGGTCGATTAAGCAAGGAGTGTAGTTTTGGGGTGCGTGTGGCACATGCGTGCACGTCAGATCTAAAAAATAGACAAACATAATTTGTTCCTAAGACTTAATTCATGGCCACAGTCCACCATTCATTAATATGTTCCCTCATTAAATTAAAACTACGGTTTAGTAAAAAGTGGCCATGATTTAACTAAAATGAGGGAACACATTTGTGTCCACGATAGCTTTCAATTTCCCCCCGCATGTCATATCCAGGGTGCCGTACTAAACAAATAAACTTGATGTGGACAAGGACAAACTGTTACAATTGAATGTGTAAAGAGATAAAGACTGAAACCCATAAGATACATCTATAAAACAAATTAGGTTAGGTAAGGCTAACACTGCTATCTGTTGTTTTGGCAAGTAAAAAGGTATGTCGTCTACACTACAGCATTTTTTACCACAGTAAGATGCAAAAAAAGGGATTAAAAGTGAATGATAGGAAGAAAATATACGTTTATAGTCCACTGCAATAATAGATGGCGAGGATTTGGGAAAGAAACAAGAGATTCCGGCAC